TCATGCTTGAGACGCTCACTACTGCAAAAAGACCAGAGAAGAAGAAGAAGGAGGAGGAGGAGCTTGATATTCATGATGCAAAACAAATGAAGGCCTCAGTCGTCCCTCTCTGTAGTTGTTGCGTTACTTTACCCTCGTCAGACATTGGTGACTTAGATTTAAATAGTCTGGAGACAAAAAAAGAATTTTAGTTTCCTAAAGAAGAGTTTTTTTTTAAATCTCAGGAGTCGTGCAGCAGAGCAGCACCACAGGGAGTCCAGTATGGCAGCTGTGTGTGTGTGTGTGTGTGTGTGTGCGTGCGTGCGTGCGTGCGTGGGTGGGTGTGGGTGTGTGTGTGCGCTTGACTGTCGCTATCAACCTTTTACAGGTAAAAAAAAAGTAAATGTTTTGCCAAGTACACATCCTGTTTACCTTTATTTCTTGACGTTCTGCACTGTTTTATAATTTCTCTTCATGTTTGCTGTCAAGCACAAAATATGGAAATGAATAATATGTCACTTTGTTCCTTCAACGCAAGCAGTTTAAACCGTTTTCAGGAAGCTGCTCTCCTCGTTTCCTCACCTTGTTTCCTCTCCTCGTTTCCTCACCTCGTCTCCTCACCTCGTTTCCTCTCCTCGGCTCGTCTCCTCTCCTTGTTTCCAGTGTGGGTAGCTTCATCCATCATCGTCTGTTGTGAACTGATGTTATCTCTGATGAAAACGTTCTGGAAGCAGTCAGTCAATCTCACTGCATGTGCAGATGTTTGTGTTCCATCATTATATTTTATGTTATTTTTTGGTCAAACTACTTTAATCTTCTTTCCAAACTTCATATAAAGCTTGTGTGACGGACAGCTGACAGCTGTGCGGCGCCCTCTAGTCTCCTCTCCTCGTCTCCTCGTCTCCTCTCCTTCTTGATGTTGAGTGGTAAAGTGCAGCAGAGGCTGCTGTGCGTGTCGTTTACATCTTAAGCTGCTGTAGTGAAGGTGAAGCCAGACGCATTATTGTGATTTCATCATCGCTTCTCTTCTTTGAGTTTTTAGCCAATGAAATGTTCCTCACAAGGTCAAAGGTTACATCGACAGCGTGTATATTATTCACATTGATATAAAACAGAACGTGTTGAACTGGTGATTTATTTCGGGTTCTTTATAAAACTTCTTTGTTCCGGCCGTACTGTTCATTGGTGTCACCCCGCTGTGGCCGGTAGAGTTAGTTATTGACTATACTGTTATACCGCAGTATAGTGCAGTATAGTGCAGTATAGTGCACGTGGCTCTCACTGCAGCACAGACTGCACCAGCAGGGCGATGTGCACGGAACCATATTACAGAAACATTTTCAACAATATCCACAAAACGTTCTTTTCTTAAAGATTGCATTGTGTTGACATGTTTCAGCTTAGCTTTACATCCCATGAATAACTCGGTGCACATTATTCCATGTATGTGATGAACCTCACCTGGAGACAGTTTCACTCATAACTGTTAATAATTCATCAAGAAGCCAGCGTGACGGTAATGAACTGAAGATGCTGTTGTGCTAAAGGGTTGAAATGTTCTCTTCACAGTTGAATACAGCTTTAAACATTCATTGCCAAGTACTTTTGAATTATGTTTGTTGATTGATTGTGAATCAGTTATGAATCAAAGTTATTATTATGAATGCCGTATCTCTCTACGATGTATTAAGTTATGTTTTTAATTGGCAACAAACTGACTAATTTAAACTCTGCAGCAGGACAATCTCGCAGCAGCCTGCTGTGTGAACGACGATGTAATGTTTGCAGAAGTTGCACTAAATGTTCATACCAGACAGAGTCAAATAAAGTGGATTGAATTCAGCACGAGTGTATTTTATCTTTCATAAATTCAGGGTTTTTAAATTTAAATTTCTTTCTGCCTCAAGCTCTCGAAAAAACGTTTCCTCTTTGTATATTTTGGTTATTTGTGAGGATACGTCATGAAGCCGTTGTGGAGCGGTATCATCATCACGGTGAAACCAGGACAGACAAACAGTCACTGAAGGAAACAAAACATCCTGCGATGGATCTCATGAACATGCTGCTGGATGTTTGATATCGTGGACCTTTACTCCGTCGTCACCGCCGACGTGCGTCCGTTTACGCCGGCCAAATGTAAGGAAACAAAGTATTCTTCTTAAATGAATCTCTGACATTTAGACAACTTTTATCCCACTTTATCCAATACAAAAGTTCAAAAGAATCAAAAACACGAACATTAAGACAAAGCTACATCTGACTGCTTACAAAGAGTCATACGTCTGAGAGTAGCACCGCCACAAATAGAAGCAAATAATTCAGATTATGAAGTGAAATAATCTAAATGATTAAAAAAGGGAAACTATCGTTTAGTCATGTGTATTGTGAGACGGGGTTACTTAAGATACGTTTTTAAATGCTTCATGAACACCAAATCATACTGTGTATAGAATATGTTTTACAGGATATTTAGTATTTCCAGTCTCGAACAGAACTTGACCGTGTCACGTGCTGCCTGCTGTGCAGCAGACGGAGGTGAAGATAAAACAATCATGGCGGCAAAAACTAAGACTAGAAAAGCTCAAATGTAAATGAACTTACTAAAATGAAAGACTTAAAGCAGCTTATATGTAAAATAAACAGCTTGTTTTAAACATCGGAGGGAACATTTACATCCTTATAACTGCAGAATAGCAACACAGTCAAGTATGAAATACAGGTTAAGACGAGTTATTTATTAAACTTCTCCACGTGTGACTTTCATCCTTTAACATAATTGATGCACGGTTTACAGAACAGTAATAAAGGACTCAGTGAACAGTTATGTGAATATTGTATAATAGATAAAGCACGTTTAAAATGAGCTCGTACTCGGGCAGCTGATGCACTTTTGCTTTTAGTGGAAAAATAACAAAATAAAATATAACATGGATCATTTCTAACCTTTCTTTTCTTCCGTCTCAATTAAATGACATATTTCCAACATAACTGCTTTTTATTTCTCAGGCATGAGAAATAAAAAGGTGCAAAGTCCTTCATGAGGAAACAACGCTGCCGTGACGTACAGGAAACTTTATAGACGGCGACTAGAACATTCAACGTCTCTCTGACTGTGGAGGGTTTAGTTGTTCTTTAAATGGAGTGCAGATGTGGCGGCAGCTTATAAACAGCTCAGTTCTTTAGAGAGAGTTTGAGTCAAAATGAGCCAAACTCCATCCGACAGATTCTCTCTTCCGTCCTCAGACTCCTTTGACCAGGACCACAGTCTGGCCGGCCTCGGCCTTCTGGGAACAGCGCTCTGTGTTTTTGGCGTTGGCGGTGCGAGGGCGGCGCAGGTTCAGAAAGCTAAAGCGCGTCTCCAGGCTGAAGCTCTTCTTGGTGCTGGAGGTGGAGGTGGAGCTGCTGCTGCTGCTGCTGCTGCTGCTGTTGGAGGCTGGAGCATTGTCCAGATCTCCCGCCGCACCTTCTGCCCGGTCACCTGCAGCACAGCAGGTCAGAGAACGTTTCTTTATTTCACGAGCAGAGACGTGACCATGATGGCCAGTGATTATTAACCCTTTGAACCCTGGGATGGAGAAGCATGTTTTCTTTAAACAACCGTCACAGTCGTCGGATTTTCCTCTTTCCGAGGGTCCTTGAACACATCATGTGTGACGGACGCTTCAGTCAGAAAAAGCTGTTTAGATGTTCTCATTATAAATGTCTCCTCTAATAAAGCGTTCACTTCAACCAGATTGTGTAAAAACATTAAGTTGTGAGCTCCTCAGTGAAACTATGAAGTCATGATTGATCCATCTGAGACCAACAGTCATGTGACAACAAGGAGGAGAAACTCTGACTGAACTACAGGAAGTGAACACAGAGAGAGAGGAGAGAGAGGAGAGGAGGAGAGTAGAGGAGAGAGAGGAGAGGAGAGGAGAGGAGAGAAGAGGAGAGGAGAGTGAGGAGAGGAGAGAAGAGGAGAGTGAGGAGAGGAGAGGAGGAAGGAGAGGAGAGAGAGGAGAGGAGAGAAGAGGAGAGAGAGGAGAGGAGAGGAGAGGAGAGTGAGGAGAGGAGAGAAGAGGAGAGTGAGGAGAGTGAGGAGAGGAGAGAAGAGGAGAGTGAGGAGAGTGAGGAGAGGAGAGAAGAGGAGAGTGAGGAGGAAGGAGAGAGGAGAGGAGAAGAGAGAGAGGAGAGTGAGGAGAGGAGAGGGGAGAGAAATATTTAAACAAATATTTGTGGATATTTTACCTTCAGCTAATTCCCATATGAATTATTTTTATTATTATCGTCGCTGTTGTTATTACCATTATTATTGTTATTATTATTTATATTTTAACTCTGTCCATGTATTGTGTCTCCTCTCTTTGTAGCGATGAGAAAGGTTTCACCTTCATGTACAAGTTAATATTTAGGATCTGACATTTTTCTGAAAAGGGGGAAAAAGCTGCTAACACCCTGCTGCATTTTAAATGATTCCCTAAACCTTAATATGCTCACACACACACACACACACACACACACACACACACACACACACACACTTTCCCATCACCCACCTCTCTCCAGGTCGCACTCCGGTGACGACGCTCCGCTGCACTCGCTGCGAGGCCCGAGCACCGGAGAGATGAGGCCGAAGTCCGACAGCGACACGGTGCTGGGGAGGTCCAGGCTGAGGGGCCTGGACAGAGGAGACATGGACGAGGAGGAGGAGGAGGGAGTGGGCGACGGGGAGGCGGAGGAGGACGTGCAGGAGGAGGAGGAGGAAGAGGAGCTGGCGAAGGGGCAGGGCGACAGGAGCTCCTGAGGGCTGCTGGGAGACGAGCCCAGGCTGCAGGTGGAGCGAGTCTCTGAGTCTTCCTCCGACATGATGCTGCCGCCGCCACAGGCCTCGTCATCGAAACACACCGACGCCACTGCAGGAGGAGAGAGGGAGGAGGAAGGGAGGGGGAAGGGGAGAAAGGAAAGTGCAAGAATGTAGAGATAGGGGGAAGGAAGAAAACGAAGGGAAAAGGTGTCGAGGGAGAGGAGACAACGAGCAAGAAGGTGCCAAAGAGAGGAGAAAAGAAGGAAAGAAGGGAGAAAGGAAAGGGAGTGATAGAGGGGAAGATTAGAGAGAAGGGAGGGAGGAAGGAAAGAAGTTAAGAGTGAAAGAAGGATGTAAAATGAGACAGTGAGGTAGAAAAGAAGGAAACAAGTGGATGAAATAAGAAAGGAAGAAGGCAAAAGGGGGATGAAGGGAAGAAAGGAGAAAAGAAGACATGGAGGGAAAGAGGTGGACGGTTAAAGGGAGAGTACAGAGGGAGAAAACAGAGGGAGAAAAGGGAGAGAGGGAAGGATAGAAGGAGGGAAATGGTTCAGAGGAGGAGAGGAAGGAGAAAGGGATGAAGGAACAAAAGGACAGAGAGATGGACGAGGAGAGAAGGAAGAAGAGAAAGAATAAAGGACGGGAAGATAAAAAAGATGAGTCTGTGCAAACAGAGATAAATAGAACAGAGCCGTCACATCGCTCCCAGAGGACGAGCTTCATTTTTAGCCGACATAAATCAAAGCACACAAACGCACCGTTCTTTAGCCATGTAAACAGCTGAGGAGGAATATTTTCTATTTTCAGAATAAAACTGAATATTTGGAGAATGTAAACGTAGTCAGTGTTAACGTGAGGTGGAGCTCTTCAATGGCCCAACACTCTCCTGGTTGAATCATCAGTACAAAAGATCAGAAAATGAATATCTAGTTTATGACTCCTCCAGAAGGTGCATTTCGGCAAGAAGCATCCAATCACAGAGCTTAAACTTCAGTTAGATGCCAACGGTGAGAATCTAAAGAAGAGACATTAAGAACTCATTTGAACCGAAACCAAATGTTTGTAGAAATCGTATTCTACCAAAGGAAGCAATAATACAAATTAAAAAAGGATTCGAGCTGCAACTCTGATTATTCTCATCATCAAAGTAAAAACTCTTTCAACGATCTATTTCTGATGTTTATTTCCTCACATGTCACTTCTTCTCTGTGATCTTCCTAAATGTTCACTTTGTTGACGACAGAACGACGACTACCTGACATTCAGAGCGTCAGCACGTGAGCAGCTGTTCATCGTTATCTTATCTCATCATAGAATAACTCACTGGATATTCCGTCTGACTCCATCTTGAAGCCGGAGACGTCGTCCTCGTGGACGCCGTCGCCCTCGGCGCCGACGCCGCGGCCCCGGGGCCCCATGGTGGAGCTTCGCCGTCGCTCGTGGATCTCGTCGGAGATCAGCTCCAGGTTCCTCAGGGCCGTCTTGTACTCGCCTTTGGCCCGGGACAGCTTGGCCTGCCGCTCGTCCACGTTCTTCTTCAGGTTCTGGAGGAGGAGGCGGTCAGTGAGGGAGGACGATGAAGAGGATGATGATGAAGCTGCACTCATTCTGTGAGCATCTGAGCATTCACAACAACCGTAAACTGTACAGTTGAGAATTGAACATATGACTCAACAGAGTGTTGATGTGATGTTTAGTTCAATCTACAGGAACTCAAATCAGAGCGGACTACCGGTGAAGGAGCCACATACAAGCTTCTTCTAAAGACATCTTTTGGTGGAGTTTTCCTTCAAGCTGACATGAGACAGAGGCAGCACAACATCAAAGCAATGCTGCCCGTTTCTTATTGGCTAATGCTAACTGGATAACATGATGTCAGGGGTCTCCTAACAATGGGATCAGCTGCCATCAGAGACAAACAGGCCGTGTGCTGTTTCTGATGTTCAATGAATTCAACACAGAGCGGCCGTCACGTACCTCCAGCTGCAGATAGTACTTGGCCTTCATCTCGAAGTACGGCCTGCAGAGGGGGGGAGAGAGAGGGGGGGGGGGGGGGAAAAGAGAGAGAGAGAGAGAGAGGGAGATGATTAGATCAGAGTAACCCAGAAAAAGGCAGTACCAACATCATCACCATGGCAACCTGGAGGAGGAGGCGGGGGGGAGGAGGAGATGAAGGGGTTGTGATGTTGGATGAGAGAACGATGCAGAACGGATTAACGTCCTGCTGAGGGAATACGAGGCTGCTGCTGAATAAATGACGTGATGCACTCTTCATCTTATAGAAGATTCATACCGAGTTGTGATCTTTCAAGTATACAATTTATGATATAAATACTTTAAAGTTGGTAGAAAAAATATTTAAAATTACAACTTCATTACTTCATTGTTTGACTTTTTCTCCCAAATATTTTGACTTAATTCCCCAAATCTCCAATAGTAAAATAGCTGTAAATGTAAAATGTCATTTTTCTATGAATATGTTGCTTTTCTAGTTTTTTTAGAAAGCAATGAGCTCAGAGATGTTGAGAGGAAATGAGAAATATTACAGAAGGGAAACGGTAGAGTTTCTGTTCATTAGAATTTCATTTCACCTGGAGGGTTACTAATGCTGAGGTTTCGGTACGGCCCTGAAGGCATCGCCCCGTGACCACACTTCCCCTTTAACACCTGGCCGTCTGAAACACTCTGGACTGAGTTCCACTGCTTCAGAGAGAAAACACTTTCAGCTGAATGGAGAAGAGCAACCTGCTCATCAGACCACATCTGGGTCGAGCAGCTGGATCCGCTGCTGGTGGAAGCACAGAGCGAACTGATGACGCCATGTTGATGGGACTTCACTGCTTTGTGTTTTCTTGAGATCATTTTCCAGAACAATAATATGTTCCTCTCTGTGGACGTCTGATGTAAAAGAGTCTGTGTCTGTAACTCTTCAATGAAATCATCTCTTACGTGTTTAGAAATGTATCACAGAATAAAATAATAATGAAGAACATTAACATTAACCAGCCAGTAGTGACTTATATTTACATTTAACTTAAATCCTTCTGCGTTTCAGCCATTAAAGTGACATCTTCTAAAGTGCTTCCATGTGACTGGAGGTTGAGATCACAGCGTTTAACCAGCATCACTGAGAGCAGCTGATTGTTAGACTCTGGTTCATGAAGTAATATTTAAACGTTGACGTGATCCTGAACATAACGTTCAAATGGTAACATCTGTTTTGAGGGAGCTCTTATAGACAGAGTCATTTCTTAACTTTATTCACAAAATCTCCAACAGTTTTGTGGCCCTAAAACTCACACAACAACCAGGTTTTAACAGGTAAATATCAGCTGAGCTCCAACATGGCAGCCAGACTGCATGCTGACCCTCTCCCTGTCGTTGATGAGCAGTGAACAGTGAACCCCGGCCTGCTTGTTGGCGGTGGAGCAGCGGACCGAGTCTCTTACTTTGACTTGTTGATGGTGCGTTTGAGTTTTTTTTCCAGCTGCTTCATGCGGCCGATTGCCGCCGTATATTTGGCCGCCGTCTCCTTGTGGACCAGCTCGCTCCTCGTCTTGGTGTGCTCCGCCTCCATCACCTGTGACAGCCAATCAGAACTCACCGTCAGCCTCGCGCTGGGGTTCAAAATCTTTTGCCCTTTAAGTGTTCCGTCACATTTCTATCACATTGTGTGAAAAATGTAATTCAAATTAAAACTAAAATAAATTTAAAAAATACAATTAATCCTAATCATAATAATCTAAGAAAAGGTAAAAAATTAAATAAAAAAGCCGTAAAATAAAATGACTCCTCCACTAACTAAACCTAAAATAACACTCTTCTGTCTCTGGTGTCTCTGGTGTCAGCTCCCCCTCTCTCCCCCTCTCCCCCTCCTCACCCGCTGGGTGGCGTGGTTCAGCATCTCCTGCCAGGCGGAGTCAAACTGCCGGTTGTCCTCCTCCAGGAGCCTCTGCTCGGCCAGAGAGATGGTCTCCTTCGCCGCCCGCAGGACCTCAGTGGCTCCCTGGAAGTCCTGGGTGGCCTTCTGGGCCTCCAGCTGGGCCTGGAAGACAGAGGGAGGACATTATCACCATTATCACCAATATCAACAATATCAACAGTATCAACAATAACACCAGTA